CCATATAAATCTTTTAATTTAGTTAAACATGATAAATGTGTTTTAAATTCATTCAAAAATATAAATTAAGTAAAATAAGATAAGAATATTCAACAACCGAATATGAATAGTTATCAATGAATGGATATTTGTAAGATCTTCAAAGTTGTGGTCGAATATTCATAATAGATAATAAGTTAAGTGATGAAAAAGCTTGAGTAATTAGAATGAAAAATTCATGTTTAAATGGAAGTTTATCGTGCAATTTCAAATGAGTTACAGATCTGAATATTGATGGATGAAAGATTGTTCGTAATCTATTTGAGACGATCAACTATAAATGGAAGTGAGAAAACATGGCACACGATCTTAAAGGTATCGAAATAGTCTAGAACACAAGCCGCCTGGTAAAGATCTGTACTTACAAAAGTTCTTTGAATATCATAATTAGATATGCAATGAGTTGCATCATCACCGATGTCATTCTTTGTACTAATATAAAAATAAAATGTATAAAATCGTGGCATATGAATAAGAATTTTATTATGAAGATGACTTCCATCGACAAATGTAAATCGATTTATGATACAAACATACAAAATTAATTCTTCAAGATATCATATACGATTAAGAAGAGGTATCACTAATTCATCATATAAAGAAATTGTATCATAGCACTTCTACTTCAAATAAAAATTAGGTAATAATTCTATAAAAATGAACTACGATATAAAAATGAATTTTCTCAACATGTTAATTCCAAACATGTAGTTAGACAGTTCTATTTGAATTATGCAAACTTATAAATCAACTTCAATTTTGATACTACAAAGTTGAATTTGTTTCATTGAAAATCTTAAAAAAACAATACGTTTTCGAATGTATATCTGCTATCATTTATCAATGAGTACGAAGATTATTATTGATTCGAAGTACTTGAATTTGTGAACGATCCGAATTTCTAATGACTATTCTATTGAATTGAAAGTCATGAAGGACTGGTGGTCAAAACCTAAATTCATCTTATTGATTTTAAAAACAGAAGAGTTATATTTCTCTAACTCGTTGCGACACTTTGAAGCACTCGATACTACAGATTCTCAAAAAAATGTAGTATTTTAATAGGACGACATAGCACTGAGCAGAATGTCATAACCATAATGTGATCTAAGATTACACTGCTACGCATCATGCTCTTCTATTGCCAAGAATATTATGCTATCAAGTTTAGCTCTCTGACATTTTGCATAATAATGTAGAATATGCCAACTACCCATAGTAATAAGACTATCTTACAAATCAAGAATCAGTAACTCCGGATATGTCTCTTTCAATCATATGATTATATTCATTCGAATAGCACAAGTTTATGAAGACTAAAAGGAAATCTTAGTCAACTAAAGTGATTATTTAAAAAAATTTTATATCTTTGATTTGTTTTTTAAATTTAAATCAATAAGTCTCACCAAATTAATGAAAACATGAAAAACTGTTCCTCTTCATCCTATTTCATAAGTGGATGTCCGTTCGGTCATGGTTAGTGTTAGAGTTAAAAGAAGACAGAACTGTAAGATAAATATTTCAAGAAATGATTCTTGACATTTATCTAGTTTACAGCAATCGAAAAAGAAAACATCCGAATATCATTTTCTTCGATATTATATAAGGCGAAATCATTTCTTTTTTTTTTATATAAAAATTTGATATTCCAGAAACAAATGAGTTCAAAATGATGTTGCCTTATACACTATCCGAGAAAATTCTTAGAATACAAGTTTTGTATTCAGTTCTTTTTTTTTAATTCTGACGTCTAAATTAATCGTCAATATGTGATAATTGATTATAAAATTATCTGCAACAACTATAAGAACAATCTGTGTGTGTTCTTTTTTCCAACTTCCAATCCTTATTGAATTTCTAATTAATTTGATGCTATTCATCGACATAATACACGGACTAAAAAAAACAACATTGATAGTTACATAAATGATGAACTTACAATGCTGTAAGATAACAGTAGCACATAACTGATATAATCAATTTGAACGATAAATATAATTAATTGTTTAATTTTGTTTTCATTACCGATATGAGCAAGAACCATAATTTGTTTAGTAATATGTTGGAAGAGAGTATTATTTAAACAGGAAAAACAAAATTTAATATTGCATAATCTTTTGTTTTTTTTTATAATATTTCGTATATCAATCTTCGAACATAAATCGATATATGTGAATTCATTACCTTTAAAACAATATGACACGATTCCTCTATTGAAATTCAAAATTTTAAGTTGACTATAAGATTAGAATAGTCAGCAGCATGATAACATTTCATATTGTGATGAATTTGAAATTATATTTCTATATAAAATTGATCGAATTTTCGATCAAATATTGAAGACATATCATAAATTGATGACATGAAAACAAAATCAAGGATATTAGTGAAGATTTTGTCTTGTACTATTAAATCAAGTTGTTGATTATTTAAATTAAGTAAAGAATAAACTGAGATAAATCATCTAAATTCATTTAAAATCATATAAGTTAGCTTAACTCAATTTAAATATTCTGATGTACATCATAAACTTGGTTCCATATATTATTGAATTTTTGCATTAAAAGTATGTGTTTGTTGTTAAACTTAGAAACTTTGGTTATTAATAATAATAAAACTATTTTTCCCTGTGTTTAAATTAAAAAAAAACTTGATTTCTTATATTTCTTTCGTTTTTCTTCACTTATTGCTGTATATTATTGAATAAGGATGTATTTGATCAGAAAAACATAAAAAAAACTTAATATAGGGTGGGTGTGGGTATCGACATCACAACGAGACTCACGCCCACACCCGACAGCCGTTTGCGGAAAGTTTTTTGGAATATATATTTTTTTCTCTGAGGGGAACAATGTACAACTTTCCAAACGAGTCTTTAATTGAATTTTACAGTTGGGGGAATTTTTCACCAAAACTTTGTCGTTCGGAGAAATTTTCCATTTTTACGACAGATTCTTCATTTCTGCCTAAAAAATAAACTATTTCCAACATCTATTCGATATAATCAATATGTCTCCTTAGTTATCTCTTCTAACAATGGAGGTATTTGTATTGTAATCGAGCTAGACTTGATATTTTGGCGTCAAATGAAAGCTCTCACCGCCAAACTAACAACCCATGGGATAAAAAATTAGGATATATTCACTGCGCAACGCGTTAATGCTGACCGATTTAACGCGTTCGCAGCGTTTCCCATGATAAGAAACGTATACAACCCTTTTTTCCACTTACTCAAAACGCGTTTCGGAGCCACAATTCTCGGATGAAAACGAAAAGTATATCGTCTCGCGGCGTTTTTAACCGATTTAGCAGCTGCGAAACGCGTTAAACCGGTCAGCATTAATGCGTTTCGCAGCATTTATAGTCGTAACTGATTTAAAATTATTTTCACCTTTATCTCTAGATCAAAAAAAACTTTCGATAACATGTTGTTGTTGAAAATAATTTTAAAACTTCAAGTGATTTACTTAGTTTATCCATTTTGTTTATTTTATATTCAATTCATTTATTTTAAAGCTAAATAAATAAGTTTAAACATTTTTTGATAATCATAATAAATGAATGAATAGTTGACGGAAAAAGTCTAACGTCGATTGAATATTCACCTTCATCAATGAATGAACGAAAAACTATTCTACAACAAATCTTTATATTAGATAAATAATTTTTACTGTGAATTATTATTTAAAAAAAATCAATTACTGCACTTGTTCTATTTGAACTTCTGTTTTATTATATTATATTCAATCAATATGATCGTAAAATAATATTTTTGTAAAACCTGATGTAATCAATAACAAAATGATTAAATTTATAAAAATTCCTTTCTCATTTTCTTCTTTCAATTATCTCTTATATATATGTATGTTACTAATCAAAGAGAATAGTCGATAATTTTTTTTTTGTGTTCTTCTTTCGTTCAGTCATCACTCTTATAGCATGATATTGAGTGCACGACATCTCATTTGTTCTTACACATCCCAGACGAAAAGAAAAATAAATTGAACATAACATGTGTAAAGACGACATAGATATCGTGCACTCAATATCACAGCATGAATCAAAACAACCGGTTGTTATCATACGCTGCGTATTAAAATTCCGTGGACGTCGTCTTTCTTCGCGTTTCTATGTTTCTTCTCGTTCTTCGTAACAGAAGAACAAAAAAAATTAAAACAAACGGAGCTTTCGAGGGTGGCTCTAAAAAAAATGAACCTTCCCAGGGATATCCGACGTTCTGTTGGTAACCTGTACAGGCGTGTAGATGGTAGGCCTTTATAACATACATCTATGTATGTATGACTAGAAGCATTCATCTCGTCATCGTCTTTCCGAAGATGATGATCATGGATGTACTAGTCATACATACATAAATGTATGTTTGCCTTATCATTGCCGGCTTTGTTCACTGTACAACCCAATAGAATACGGAGGATATCCCTGGTCGCGCGTGCGTGAAATTGTTGTAGTTGGTGTGCTTCGGCGAGCAAAACATGTTCAAGAAGGCCAATTTATTTTCTCGTTTAAAAAAAAACAATTACATTTTCTTTTTTACATCTTCAATGTTACTTTTCACAAGTGCAATATGTGGATGATTTGTAGGTAGTGATTTTTGGAAGATTTCTTGCGCTTTTTCGTAATTTGAAAGTGCTTTCGAGTACTCCCCCATGTTATAATACACCAAACCGATGTTGTTGTAGGATTGAGCAAAGTCGGGATGATTCGGAGGGAGAGCTATTTTTTGGATTTCAAGTGATCGTTCATACGATGAAAGTGCTTTCGAGTACTCGCCCATGTTTCTATACACGATACCGATACCTTCGTAGGAACCAGCCAAGTTGGGATGATTCGGAGGGAGAGCTATTTTTTGGATTTCAAGTGATCGTTCGTACGATGAAAGTGCTTTCGAGTACTCGCCCATGTTATCATACACCGAACCGAAGTTGTTGTAGTCAGAAGCCAAATCGGGATGATTTCGAGGGAGAACTTTCTTGTCGATATCAAATGCTCGTTCGTGCGATGAAAGTGCTTTCGAGTACTCGCCCATGTTTCTATACACCAAACCGATATTGTTGTAGGATTGAGCGAAGTCGGGATGATTCGGAGGGAGAGCTATTTTTCGGATTTCAAGTGATCGTTCGTACGATGAAAGTGCTTTCGAGTACTCGCCCATTTTAGCATACACATTACCGATGTTGTTGTAGGAAGCAGCCAAGTCGAGCTGATTCGAAGGGCTCATTTTCTTGTAGATATCGATTGCTCTTTCGTAAAATGCTATTGCCTTCGAGTATTCTGCTATGACATCATACACCCATCCGAGTTTTAAGTTGTAGTTTGCCCGATTTCCATCAGAAGATGTCCTTTCAAGGAGCAGCTGATAGAGATGTTCTGCTTTTGCAGGCTCACCCAAAGCAATAAGAATAGAACCCAATCGAGCCCAACCTGTTGCCCAACTATGCTCTTTGCTTAAATGTGCTGTTAGTTTGTTAAAATCATCATCTTGATTACCAGCAAGAGTGAGATTGACTTGCCAGAGACGATCGGTATGCTTATCTTCAATACGTTCTATACGATCGATCCGAAAAATTGTATGTGTCGAAAAAAGAATTTTTTCTTCTTTATCGTCGAAGAAGCCAACACCTTTGACGTTGACGAAAGGTGTTGATGATGCTGTGCAAATGGCCGTATCGATGTTCATAATGAAGAGAATGCCAACCGAATCGGCATCGAATGCTGCTGGCCGTGCAAAGTTTTTGAAGGAAATATCACGATTACGACTTGTCGACAAAAAATTATTAAAGGACATAAGTCCACCCTTGGTTTTCTTCATTTTTTCAAAGGCTTCCATGGATAAGCCTTGACCACGAAAAACTTGAAATTTTGATGGCATGGCTGCTTTGCTACTTTGCTGTTCACGATGTAAGTCTGTAATATGTTGATGTAGGTGGCGGATGAAGAAGCCCATTTTAAGAATAATGTCGACATCCATTTGTCGAAGACCACGATTAAGCATTGAGTACATGAAATAAGGAGCCGTATACCACCAAATTGGTTTATGATCACGATATTCATGTTGTACCTTTTTAATTTCATCATCAACAATATCATTTTGAAGACGACAATATTCTACGAGATCTTTAATCGATTTGGCATCGTCGTCTTCGATTTCTAAGACTGCTTCCTTCAAAAGTTGTGTGTACATAAACAGTGCATCAAGTCCATTGAAACTGATCGAGATCATAGCTTGATCACATCGTTGTCGATCAATTTCTAGGGCTTTACAAATTGGTTCGATTTTTGTATATACGCCTTTGATCTTCGATACTTTGTTGGCCCATTGTTCATGATAAGATTGATTACCACAAAAAACATACACGGATTCTAATTGTGACATGGCTTCCATTTCTGATACTATTTTTTGTCCCAGTGAACCCGATACGATCATAAATGCTTTTTCTTTAGTAATACCACTAAGAAAATCAAAACATTGTTGAGCATCGGTGAATGTTGTAATGGATGCTACAATTCGTCGTAAATGTTTTAGCGAAGTTTGAAAATCTTCTTTTGACTCGTCAACATTGGCATCGAGCCAGACTAGAAGAAAATTCTGAATAATTCGACGAGCAGGTTGAGGAAGCGCAGCACTTCTGCCCATCGTTGACACTGATGCTGCTGTTGATGATGATGATGATAATGTTTTCTTTGGTTTATTTGTTGTGGACGATGAAGAAGATCCACTAGCAGTCGATTTTGAATGTTGCTTTTTGTCCATTTGGATGATGTTGATAATAATAATGGTGTTCTGTTTTTGGTTAATGAATAAATAAATAAAAATGTAAATACTTGTTCGATGGTGATGAAAAGAAAGAATGGACAAAAACAGAATTCATCTCTCTCTCTCTCTCTAAATATTTTTTATTTTAGTTTTTTTCTTCTTTTGTGTTGACACTTTTTATTTTTTGGTTTGTTATTGTTGTTGCTATGAAAGACTTGAAGGATCTCTTATTTCGATCTTTTGTTCGTTCGTTTTTGTTTTTTTATTTCAAGAGTTTTGTTTTTGACGAAACGACAGTGATGAAACATGTAACGAACGAAATCTTTGTGTATCTGGCATGAAAACAAAAAATCCGTCCAAAAAAAATGAATAATTACACAATCGGTCGATCGTCATTCGTAGAAGAGAAAAAAACGAAAGATTATGAATAGAATCTCAAAATGAATTGCTTCATATATTGTTTGTTTTCATTGTTTTTTATTTTTCATTTGCTTCTATCTGGTCTCATTAGAAAATTCTTCTATCTTTGTCTATGTTTCTATGTGCAAACTATCTTGAATTAATAAAATAAGTGTGTTATCCAAAAACAAACCAAAACGACAAAGAAAAAATGAGCCTATTCGTTTCTGCTGTGACCTTGTTGATTTGAGAAAAATATCTATGTCAATCATAAGACAGTGTGAAAGCAAGAAAGAAAGCAAATTCCTTTTTAACTAGTGTAAAAGGCTTTAAAACATCGTTTTTTGAAGATACAACAGAAGTCTCTGTAGTTTTTTGATCAGATTGGTCTCTTTTTTCCTCTTGAATTGGTTGCTATGCTCAAGTCATTATGTTTTCTTTTCTTTTCAAGTTTGCATCGTCATCTCAACAAGTCCAAGAAGAAGAGGAAGAAGAAAAAACAAATGTAAATAAATTCATATAATAAAACGAATCAATATTGTTTGCATTGTTGTCAAGGTTTTTTCCAACATCGTCATTGTAAGTAGGTAGTAAGAATGAGCAACGAAATAATACCACGTGTGGATGTAAGTTTGGGTGTGTCTGTTTTTTTTTATAATCACACCTGTATCTACAGATATTATGCTAACAGATTTTTACTAATAACGAATGTATTTTATTTATGTGAAGAGATATGAATAAAAACATGATTTTTTTCATTGTTTCTAATATTATATATAATAAAATATTTATAGAATTCAAAAATGTTTGTTCTTGTTATGTGTATTATAGTTCAATAGAATATATCACATACAACTAAATATTACAATAGCACAACAAGAAAACAATCAAAAAATGTGCCTATCGGACATACAATGATTGGAAGTAGAATTCAAAAACTATACATACACACATGACTGAAATGAGAAAATATAAATATATACTAGTTTTTATGTATTAATAATTCGATATTGTACATAAACACGGTATGGTAGTTTTGTTAGATCATTATCATTATTCAATTGATATATTGTAAATCAAAGATTATTGAATGAATCAATATAAATTATCTAATAATTTAAAACAATATAGGAAACATTATTATTTACATAAATTAAAAAGTAAACATACTTGTTTTTTGCTGAATGCAATGATTTTCATTTATAAAAATAAAAATCAACACGATGATATGATTTATATTCAAGACATTTTTTTTCCTATCAACAAGAATTATTTTTGTTAGTGATCGATCACATCATGATCACTTTCATTATCACGTATATAAGAATCAATATAAGGTGTTCAATTTTCAGAATATTTCTTAACCGTCTTCATGATCAGATGAATCAATAAAAAATCGCCTGTAAATGCTGCATAGTATCTAGTGGTGGAAGACTTAAATGGATTTGAGTTACTATTGAAATTTATCGAAACTATTGAATTCATAATGTGTCAATTAGTCAGAGGAAAGCTACCACTATATATAAGATCTTAAGACTTAATGCAAAAAAAATATTTTCTGTCAGTTTGAAGTTCTACAGAAGCCTCTGACAAAATAAAGATATTGGAAATTCAATAATTCGACCAAATCTCAATAGTAGTTCTTCCTTCGTTAGTCAACCGAATATCTTCGAATTCAAACTCAATTGACATGTTAACTTTTTATTCAATCAACGATGTAAAGAAAAAACGATAGTCGTTTTTATAATTGATGATGAAATACATTCAAATATTAGACATCATTCCATCTCATATTATGGATATGTCTAAGCATCGATCGAAGCACGAAAAATCTTAATAAAAAGTTTTGACTTCAATATTTTGTTTGAGAAAACTAGTAGTTTACCGTATCTATTTGAAAATTGACTATGTTGAAAAAGATATATGTTCATTTTCGTTGAACTCTCACACGAACACTTAGTAGAATATGTTAATAAAATATCAGTCCGATAATCTTAACCGCTTTAATGTGAATCAATTATCTACAAAGAGTATGATTAAATCTCAGCAAAATTCATTCAAATACTATGTATTTGTAACATTGATTCAAGTGATGTGTTTTAGCTCAATGCAGTTGATCAATAATGTTACTCAATTATAAATAGTTGTTTCTTTTTTCTTTGGCTAAGATAGAACAAATGAAAATTAATGCGAATACTGAATAGCACTCGTACAACTATGACTAGTTCAAAAGATGATCATGGTCATGTCAATGTTAAAATGTCCTATAACTTTCCATTACTGTTAGATCATCAATACGTATTTGATTAAGCTTATCTTATTCTAGCTGTTATCTTCTCATAATTATACTACATACGAAGTCAAATGGCATGCAACAGTCAAGTTTCCTATTGATCAATGATTGATAATTATTTAAACAAAATACAATTAATATACTGAACAAATACAAATGAATATAATTTTGATTTGCATCTAGAGATGTGGGTGTGAGTCTTCTCTTCATCCACATCCTATACTCATACCCTCTAAATATATTTTGATTGTTTCTTGGCTGGTTGCTATAAATATACATTAACGACTTCTTATCTCGATCGTTCGTTCTTTTTTTTTTAATATCAAAGTGATTGCATTATCGATCGTTGTTCGTTGGAAAGAAAAAGAAACGAAAATTTTAATCATAAATGGAATTTAAAAATATTGTTGCTGTTTTTTTTCTTTTAGTTGTCTCTGACTGCATTAAATGTTTTTCATGTGCATTGCATTCAGTTAATAAAAATCTCATCGAAAGTAAAAAGAAAAAAGACTACCATTTTCTGCCGTATTTCTTTCTTTCTTTCTTTCTTGTCTTTATTTGCTATTTCGTTCGTTTTACAAACACATAATTATTAATCATATACTGCTTATCAATCGATGATCATACAATAAATGAAAATGAATGCAAATTTTCATTTGTTAGTTGGTTCGTCTAAAAAATTTCAATAATATTGTAAAAAAAGACAGAAAAATTGCAAGAAAAAAATTGTTCGTCTTCTTAGTTAAATAGAAATTGTTTTTTTTTCTTTCTTTGTTGATAGACGTTTTTTTTGTTGCTTGGTAAGTTGTTATGTATGCAAATGTGTTTTGTTTGCCACTAAACGAAAGATTATTTTTATTACTAATTTTTAAGTGTGTTTGAGCAAACAAATGCGAGTCTGCGTCAAAGAACAACGATAACGAACAAAACAAATGTATCATCATCGTTCGAACGCAATAAGTGGAAGAATAAAAGGTTTATACAATGAAAGATTTATTTGACAAAAATTCTATTATGGTCAATTGAATGACTTTAAATAATCCTAGTAACAATTCTCTAATGTAAACATATAAGAAAAATAGTTAAAAGTGTTCAGTATATACAACAGTGTATTCTCTTCTTGTATGTTCACTATAGCATGAAAGAATATGAGCAGCACAAAAAAAACAGTTAACCTCAGAAGGTTTATTCTATATAGTAAAAGGCATTCATATTTCACTATAATAAGACTTCTACTAAGAAGTCATCGAATTTAAATAGAAATTGTTGTTCAGAGCAAACCTAAGTTGTTCACGATAATGAAATGTTCAAATTGTTGAGACATTGACAATTATTGAAGAAAACAATTAGGTTTTTGTTTCTAAAAACATTTCAAAAAGAATCTGGTAGACTAAAATGTGACTGATAGTACTTGTTACACGTAAGACCGAAATCATGTGCAGCAACTACGAAAAAAAGTGTAGTAGAAAAATATTGTTCAACATCAACTAACTTAGCTTTAGAGTTCAAGAACGAGTTAGAGCAAATCATGACAAACATCGAAAGGAGAAGGGTTGACAATTGATGAAATCGAAGTATTATTCTCGAAACATTATAATGTTTAATCTTTTTTGACTGGTATTTCGCAGATTTTAATGAGAAAAATAGTTTAGATACAAATTGAAATCATCTTATTTCTTGTTAAAGCGATGTTTAGATGTTTTTCATATAAACTATTTCCCATTAGTGAAACTATTTTTTACATATGGTCTATTTTGCCGACTTCATCCTGTTGACGAAGACGAAGGATGATTTTTTTTCAATGAAGAAATATCGACGAAAATATTTTAAAATATTCACATAAACCTCTTAGTCTGTGTTTTTAATTACTCCTTCATAAGATGATTTTAATTTTTATTCAAACTTTATTCTTTTTCTTCTCATTAAAATCAATGAAATACCAGAAAGAAAAAATATTTAAAATATCGTGTCTCAGAAAAAATATTCTTCAAGCAATTTTTAATGATCAATGGTTTTTTCTTCACTATTTTCACAGCAATGTGATCGACTAATATAACGATATTTAGATAGACTTGATTATCATTAAAGGTCAAATATGATCTCCACAGGAGAATTATTAACTATTTCAAATGATTTGAATACAGTATAAATAACAGGGCTAGTTATACGAACGATCATTGTGCAAAGTGTTGTAGTGATGAAATGTTTACAATGGTAGTGAATTTTGGTGTCTATATCTATTTTCAATATTTATTCGCAAGTATCCATCTAATTCATCATATTAAACTATCATCATTGAAAATTA